CCATGACGTTTGCCAGGGAGAGGGTCTCGCGGAGGTATCTTCACTGCCCCTGGTCGTGAGTGTCCGGTTCGCGCTCATCATGGATTGCAACCTCAGAAACACAGGGTACAACGACGGTTCTGGCTACGAATTCCTTCCAGTTTTCGTCCAACTAGTGCATTGCCTGTCTGCGCTCGCTGCACGGAATATCCGGGAAAAAGCGGATGAAAAATGACCCATTCCGGAGGCGAGCTATCGATAGCAGGACAGCTTCTGCCTAATTGGCAAACGTCAGCACAACTCGGCGAAGTCTTGGTTCACAGTAGAACTGTGAGTTTAGGAGAGGGGTAACGCGTGTCAAATGTAGGGGCTTAGTTGTAACCCCTGTGGTGTCAGATATGGAGTTCCATTGGTTCACGTCGTCTAGTTGTTTTCCTTCAAAGGAATTTGACGTCCATTCTGGAAGGTTTGTGCAGATTATCGCTGGTATACTACTTGCAACTCTGGTTGAAGTCATACAACCAGCTTGTCTGTATACAGTCGATGGAGGCTGTTTGGGTACAGTTTCGTTTTATTCAGTTACTATGGGTCCAATGGGAGTGGTCGAAGAGCTAGGTTTTCGATCACCTTTGACAGCAACCAAATTCCAACCACCAGTGTTGTTCAAGCCCTACTGAATTTTCGGAACCATTTGGAAGGCGGATGATGCCCTGAGCGTGCTCATTGCAATCGGACTGACGGTGCTTGTTTCGGGCATATCTGATCAACTAGTTGTATTGATTTTTAATGCCACACATGATGCAGTTTTAGTGCGCTGCCTAGCCATCTTCCTCAGTTTTAATGCCGTGCTGGATGGGAGTGACTGGAATTTACTCTCTATTACGCTTGCTACAATTGAATCGCTTTTGATACTCCTCGTTTGTTCAACCATTGCCACTAGTCTTTCCTACTTCTGCGATAGTTCCTGTACAATCTTTACCAGTGGGATAACTATACATACTGAACAAAAGCTCAGTGACTCTGGTTAACTAGTGTGTAGCTTCAACTGGTTAACTGTGAGCTTGGAACATTTGGGATGGAACTTGCCTTAGAAACTGCTGCAATGGATTCCGATCCGTATATTTTACGGCTTGACGGAAGGCCACAAACTATTGTCGATCTGGATGCGGTAGCATGGGCTTTTGGTTGGTCGCCACAATCTATTGAGTCGATCGATGGTGTTCCCAGAGAGGTCCGAGCGCATATGGTTTCCTGCCTTTCGCGTGTGCGATGAATTGCCTGCATGTTCAAGGTCGTCACCTTCCGCACGTCTGGCCCAGGTGGGGCAGGTTTAAGTGACTAGGTTGTCTCCACAGCAAACAGAGCGACTGAACGATACAGACATAATGTGTACGATGGCTAGTTTGATAAACGGTCCACAGCTTTAGTTGCTGATTCGTCAGATGAAACGTGTACTTGCCTTTCGTTTGATAGCATAAATACTTCAGTATGGTTCGTGATTCGGAAAATTCCTCAATTGTGTTTTTGCGGGAATGGTGCAATATCTCAATGTGGAGATACAAGACGATCCGCACAAGCTAGATCCGAAAGATGGAGGGCACTAGACAACAAAGATGAACCAGGGACGAATGAGTATAAACACACGTTTGTGGGACCAAATGCAACTTAGAATGGCGGCAAAACAACGTGTTCACAGGCAAGTGGTTGGAACTCAGGTTCGTCCAAGGTTCCTTTGGCTTTCCCGAGGTGCAGTCATCTTTTCTGACGGAGGTATATCAGCCTGTCCATGAATGGCAGCGTGTATAACGTTGTGATAAGGCCGGTTTTACTGTGTGTATCAGAGACCTAGCCAGTTCGCGAATGAAGACATCAAACGTTTGGCCGTGTTTGACCATTGGTGCTTGCGAAGTATTGCGCACGTCTAGTGGGAACACCGAGTGTACAGCATGGAAGTACGTCAGCTGGTTTTTAGCAAGAAGCATTTTGGTGTCACACTTGAGTGTTCAATAAATCTTGATCGCTTACATTGGCTAGGCTGTCTTCTCTGTATGCCCGTTAACCTGCTCCCTCGGCGTGCATTATACGCCGTGGCTATGGCTAGCTGGTCGAAACCGCGAGGTAGTCAGTCGATGAAGTTGTATACATTGGGCAGGCGGTGCTTGTCGTTTTCGCGGATGGCGGCCAAGGGATGGTTCACACCGGTGGTTGGAAACCCATCAGACTTGGCGCAGTCACGCAGTCAGTGACCCACTTGCGATTGGCTATTAATTTTCGTCCCATTTTGATCAGTACATGCCATTATTTCTTGATTCCCTTTTTCGTTTTATTTGCGCCTGATCTCAGTTTACTACCTTTGTTGTGTTTTTTCATCCCGGCGGGGTGTGTCGTGGGAACTGGACCCACCGCCCTTCGGTGTCCGCATCGTAGTTGTTTGGCTGAACTGAACGCGATTCAGATAGATCATGGAGTTGGTAGGTACCTATTGATTAGGAATATGCTAGGTATACTACCTTCAATGTATGCTCACTTGTTAAATTCCTATGTTTGCTGTTGACTAGTTACCACCATCAGAAGATAATTTTAAACCAACTATTCCCTATAAGAACCTATGGCTGTTGAGCAGTGGGTTTAAATCGCGACGAGCATGCGCTGATTTGCGAGTTACTGCCTTACTAAAGTGTCGCAATCACACACGATACACTTCTACATGAAAATAATCAAGCGTGCGCGTTCGAATACGAATTCCTTAGGAGGCATAACGTTAGTGGCCCCTCAGTGCTTACGTAGCGTGCGTGTTCGGCGGAAACAATAAAAATTTGGGTCCCACTTACTACGATGTCACACGGTGAGTAGAATAACGACTTTACAGACTTTACTTGCGGTGACCCACACACTTAGTAGCACAGTAAACAACCCTTTGAACTGTAAATGGTAGCAGTCTGATAGAAACCTCTTCAGCCCTCTCTAAGAAGGCCAACCTTCGCAACGGCTTCCACTTGCGAGACGGTGAGATCAGTTGTAGAGACCAGTCGGCGTAGTGTATGAAACAGATCATAGTTTGGCTCTGTTATGAGTATAGGGTTCTGAGTGATTGCCTGTTCTAACGGTAAATCACTGTTGCTTTGAGGAGTGATAAGGAGGCAAAAGGAAATAACTGCATTTACAAATTCCATTTCATCCACAGACCCAGCAGAACAAACTATCTGAACAAATTCCTCTACAGTAGGTAGTGTATTAATCCGGCACCATTGTTAGCAGCTGTGTCCCTGTGAGTCAATTTCGTCCATCTTGTTATACCTTCCGTGTAAATGAAACCGAGCTGAGCATTTCACCCAAACATCTTCAAACTGCTCAGTGGTATCACACTGTTCCTGTTTTGATCCCGAATGGTGCTTTTCGGATGCCACAATTTGCTCATATTAACTATAGCCGCCCAACAGTCAGTACTGATCAACACTCCCTAGAAGCCATTGAATTCGATGAAGAATGAGAAACTAGGTCACAACTAAAACTACTAGTGCATTCACAACCACGTAACATTTTTGATTACCGTGTAGTACCGAATCTAAGTAGGTGATGTTTGAACAATTTTCCTTTCTGTATTTAGGGTGTTGGATTATACAAAGACTATACGCAATTTAACCTTTTGATTCGTTCTCCGAGATGAGTAAGTTAATAGCAAACGTTTCGCCACCTCCCTCAGTGGCATCTTCAGTGCAAAATCCACCCAAGAATCCACTGCACATCTCTTCCCACATCCTTGACCGTGAACTTCACTCTCTTATATTCATGAGTCTTCTGACTATGTGAGACGGTGTGATTGACACACCCTCTCGCCTATATTATTGGCTGTCTTGCCTGTTCCATGTGACTCGACATATGGTCAAGACACTATCCGGTGTGGTGAAAGCCTGTTATGACGGCTTAACGCCCCACTAACCGCAATTATAACACCTTACGGCCACCAAAACCGATCAATAATAGAGCAGGTTTAGCCTGAACACACTCAAGTGACAGCAGGTAGTGATTACCTCAAACTCGTGGAAAAACAAATTTAAATCTCTTTTCGATTTTTTAAGGAGTCGGGTAATATAGAGACTTGCGACTTTGGACAAAGTTGCTGTTGCAGTTACACTGTCGGTCAATCTATGAACAGGCTTATATTCGGTAATATATGGTATCCGGTATCCTGTTGGCTCGTTACCGGTTGGCTGTAGTCTATCGATCATTTAGTGGCTAGAAAGCAACATGGATTTAACCGAAGAATTGAATGATAGGTCTGACCGTCACTGCTCCACTGGTAATCGATTTGGAAGCCAATAATTGCTACTCGTCAGTTTGCACCACTAGTCGGCCGATGGTACAAACGTGAATTCAGGACATAAAAGGGAAATCTCGAATACCATTACAGATTAACCTAAGGCATTTTCCTTCTGCCGCTTGTGAGTACGTGTTCCCCTGCGCTTCCAGCTTCTTTAGCAGATTTGTTGCCGCCTGTATCTACTCTTTCTGCTTCGGTTGGCCAGCAGAGCGACCTTGTCATCGGTACCCTGTCCAGTTTTGTAGTATCCTTCTGGATGTCACTGTTATATAGATCAACCGTTGTTTATTGACCCGTCGAAGGTTCGTTGCCTGTCGACACGTAGACACGAAAGGGAGAGCCTACAAAGCAAGGGTGCTATCGTAGTTTTTAAGGCTTTCTAACAAGAAGGATCAATATAATAGATGGCGTCCACCACAGCACAGACCACGTAGTACGATTATCATGGTAAGGTCTTCGCAGTGGCTGAGCTGGCCATTAAACTGGCACGAAGTGATTCATCACACGACCAAATCCAACATCCAGGCCACAATCTTTCCACTAAGACAATGTAGATATCCGATCGAATTTCACCCCAAATTCACACAGCATCAAACGGCTGTGCTTGCTAACCCAGTTCTGCACAACGTCTCTTACGTGGGCGTTAAACACCGCCTCCGAACACAAATTCTGCCTGCGCATGAACTGAAGTGTATAAACGGTTTAGTTGTGCTAAAACTAGCTTCAGCGCGGCCAACGAAATGGTGGAAGAGTACATAAGGTAAGCGATTTCACGCCTATTTTGAGCGTGCCCTTTTTGTCCGCTCACATCGACACGTTCACATTGTCGGGCAGAGTAACAGCAAGTTAACCTTCATACTTCACGTTGCATAAGAGCACATGTGCTTCCATTCACTCATCTTCAACAACTTGTACATTTTGCCCATTAAAATGCTCAAAACTTGTATTTTTTTGGAGCGATGATACGCATTCCTTGAGAAGTCAGTGACCACAATCATGCCTGCCTCTAGCCATTGCCCACTTTGTGCACGCCTGAAGTTTTATTGACAGCTATACTTATGCATCCAAGACAACTGGTGACATATTGTTTGTCCATCTCGTACTTACCTGGGCCTTAATGTATCACACCACAGGTTGGTCGATGATCTGACAGATGGGTAGGCAGGAAAATTCATTATTATAGAGTTAAAAAGCTTACTCTGTATTTGCATTGCATCTACTGCCGTTACTAAGCGACTTCTATGAAAATTTTGTAGGCTGATCGACTGTCGGCACCGAATATAAGCCAAAGCACAGATACCGAGCGGTGTTAACTATAAACAACAAGAGCTCAATCACGTAAATAAAGCCGGTTTCACCCCCAAGTGTTCCTTTCTGCACCATACTAGGGGGTCAATCCCTAACTGAAACGTTGTGGACTTTAATTTTATCCAGCGCAACACATTATACAGTGCTTTTTCTCAGGTTTTGGCTTCAGGTGTTATATTACGGGGACGTAAACTGCGTGACATGACCTAATGACTGGTCTAGTTTTCACTAGGAATTCTCAGTTGAAATTGGGCGACTTGGAGCTCGAAACAGGGAGTAGGGACTACTCGTAAATCTCTTCACCGTTACACTATTGGTTGTGTGTCCAGTACATTCGCTCGGCAAGGACGTCAAGAAGACTGCGATAAAACCTTAGTCGGCTCAAAGATCTTGCTCGCGGAGCTACTTGGTGTTATGGTAAAGGCGTCTGACGACAATCTTGGCGCTCCGGGATCGATCGCCAGCTGTGTCATCTCTGCTTAAAGTGTGCAAATAAACATAAACCTAGTCGCTTATCGCGGCTTTTGTGGCCGAAGGCATCTAACTTTTGTCTACTGCAAATACAGTATCGGTGACCAAACTGCCACCTGATCAGTTCAAAGCGAGCGTGATCCGAAATAGGACTGCGTGCTGCAGCACAGTTACCTAACTGTCTCCCTGAGTTACCCAAGTATTAACACGTTTGTACCATTTAAATTACGCAGAAACTTACCGGCTTTAATGATGACAGCAAGATAGTGTTGAGAATGAGTAGGCCATTGCTTGATCCGGAGCCAGCAGCATTGCTGAAGAAGGTTTATATGTAGACAAGTTAGGCTAATCGGCTAAAGTCTGAGCTGTGTTGTTTACTGAAGAGTACGTTCTGTCCCTTTTCAGTGAGGTTGGTAGACAACTTGGAAGAATAGCTCTCCATTATATTGCTTCCGAATAATTCCGCAATAATTGAAAGCCGTGCGTTGATGAAACATGTTCAACCATACACTACTGACTGCACACCGTCCCCAAGAACTAGCGTTATCAAGTATCTTAGCAAGCCTTCTCACCGTTTCCATCGTGAAACTGGATCCAGCCCTTTTGCAATGTAAACCGATGACCAAACAAACAACGAAAACCACATTGCATGCGGCTTGTTTTTCGAGCACAAGTAGTTGCAACGCAGGTCACTCGATTGCTCTCCGGACTACTAACAGACGTGTCGAAACAGTTTGCTGTGCAATGCCGCATTTCACCGCAAATTTCGACGTGATCTATGAAGTTGCTATAGGTTCCGTGAGGAACACCATAAACGATTCCGGAGGATAGTAAATCTAGGCGCCTCCTTCTGAAGCAGAATTCAGCACGATGGCGCAATAACCTTGTCGTGCATCATCCATCAAGGCATTTCGGATGTGCCGTCCGTAGCCTCTTCGACCAGGTGAACGTCATTTTGTTGCCTTCGTACTGTGCAGATATCTTCCTCAGAACTCGGACTGTTGAAAACTCGCGAATGACTTGAGGACGCATGCCCGAAGTTTTACCAGAATGCTTGTTATCGTTCTTCCGCTGGTCATCAGTTCATTTGGAGTAGATTATGTAATGCTTCGAATTGTAGGGTTCGAGTCAATTACTAATGTTATGACTTTATCCATTCTGCTGGTGCAGTTAATTAGTTCTGTTATGGCAGTATTGTTGTTTTGTAATAAAACCCCAGAGTTAATAAAATTTCTCCCAAAAAATACGTTGGTAATCCTTCAGTAGTGCTGTTTCCGGCATTCAAGCTTTAACCTAGATTCAATCGTTAACATTATCATAATTTCGTACACATGGCCTTGATGCAGTTGTCACTAACTTGTTACCAAGTGGTCTTGGGAATACCAATTGAGTCACAACGAGCGTCAAAAATCGGACGTCCAAAGCCAATTGGTGTACCCCTACGAAAATGTAATATGGCTCCTTAGATTAATCAACAACGAGTATTAAAAACGATGTTGGTCTACAACCGATTGACACTTAGTGGGTTGAAGCTAGGTAGGACGAATGGTCATGTGGTGTATTAACTAGTCGCCATAAGCTAACTAACCCAAACCGAATGCTTGAGATTCTGATTAAAAACAACATATCCGATGGGCCTACTTGGCGTAAATGAATGAAAATTCTGTGGTCTTGTCTAAAGAGCCTAGTATGCGCAGATAGAAATGGATTAACTTTTGCTTAAAATCGTCAACTATTGAATAGGTAAACCTCGTTAAACTTCTGTAAGGAAAGCCATCGACAGTTATTATTTGAGCCATCATCAGAGCAGTGGGATATTGGGTAGACGGATATACCTTTGTGGTAAAGTGGATAATATGGTGAGTCCAGAGATGTGTTTTTCACTTTTGTGTAACTTCAATGAACTAACGTTATTCCCACAAACCATTCCACGGGACTTGTCAAGCCTTGGCATTTTTATCCGTATTATATCATTGTTCCATTGTCCTTGACGTAAGTGTAAATTGTGCGTTGAGCAAGGACAGTGGGGATTAAACACCCGAGAAGTGTCAGCATCACGTGTCGTGTCACGTGAGGCCAGGGGCGCTATGTGGGGTGTCAGAAAAGACGCACCGAGCTACTCGTATCTTTGGAGTTTACCAACCTTCCCCGTCCTAAGTTGATCATTCAGCTGTCCGAATCGGACACTGAGATCAGAATTCAATATTGTTGTCTCAACTGTTCTCCTCATGTACAAACGGCAGTATGGTTAGCGCATAGAGTAATCAGCTCAACGGAGCCGAGTGCTAATGTATGTCGAATATTCAACCAGCTGGCTTAACCCTCTAGCTTTCTGATTACTGCATGCGCAACGTGAAGCCCACGGTGGTTGCATGTGCGCATCTTCAAAAGCTCACGTATGCTTCTCAGTCTATGACGTATTCCCTATGCTGTTCGAGACAACTATCCGTTCAAGGACTCCGAAGCTCTTGGAATCCGGTTATCAACCTGTGCCTGAGAATTGGTTAAGTTCGGTGCACTTTATTTTTGACGGGGCGCTGGAACACAGAACTCGACCATATTTTGTGCCATTTATTTACTTATTTATGGAAAGTTCATCCAGACCTTTACTCACTCATCGTGAATCAGTCCAAAGCATCTCGTCTCACCGATTGCCTAAATTTTTAATAATGGAAATATTCACGGCTAACTTTACCGGGTCTTAGAACGTTTATTGCGTGTTTGTACTAAGATGGGTAACCACACCTCGGACTGCGATTCACTCTGATGTAGCCTCTCTTCAACCATCCCCACTTCCAAAATGATCATATATTTCGTGTAGCTCTTGTGGCTCGGGGCTCAGTAAAGTAGTGTTTTCCTTGATTTCTATCGGAAACCGTTTTATCTATCGCTTTGCAGCGAATCACAATGGAAATGTCTCATCCACAAAAACAGCTATTTCTCATATGACAATTTCCGAAAAGCTGCATCCGGAATGATACAGCGGGGGTTTCTAAACGAAGGCTCTTCGGATGATCGGGTTCGCGAACTGGCTGCTTTTTTGGCTCATTGTGCCTATTCGACGGACAACTTTCGGCACAGAGAGGAGACTAATCCAGATGGTAAACCTTATTGTCAGTTCTACGGCAGAGGACCGCTGCTTCTCACTTGGCAAAGCAATTACGCCGAGTTTAGCCAGTACTACTTTGACGATGAGGAGACCTTACTCAACGATCCAGATATTGTGTCACGCGACGGTGAAGTCGGCTTTGCATCGGCCATCTGGTATTGGTTGACAAAACCGAACGGGGAAAGGTGTGCGCATCGAGGAATATATCGGCAGCTATGTCCCAACCGCTCCTGGGGCTTCGGGCGTACAATCATGGCTATCGGTGGCAGCACAGAAGCGGACACCGCGGAAGGTGAGACTGGGGAAGAGAAAGGTCAACGAGTAACACGCCGGATTGAATACTACCGAAACATCGCTGAAGGCTTGAAAGTATTAATCGGCCGTTACGGGGAGCAACTGGACACCCAAGGAATGCTTATATGACCATAGTGTTTTCACTTACTGGGATACCAGCAATACTTTAAGACCACTATTCATGTGCTGCATGCTTAATATGTGGTAGTTCCACTTGAACGCACATACCTCTTTTTTGGATATTTCGTTATATGAGAACACTACACGTTATAATAAAATAGTATTTTGTTTCATAACACAAAGACAAATTTTACTCCAATTCTGCATTACCAGTAACATCCTCGTGCAGGTTGCCAGGATTAATTAACCACAGTTTGACTCGTGCCGCCAGTTTCAGCCAGTGGCAACAGTTCGCACACTTGGCACGTGCCCAACACTGGTGGTTTTTCAGGTTGGGCAACGGTGAACATCCATAATAGCTGAATTAATAGAGGTTTGGCAGCAATCGGTTGGTATGGTTGTTTATTAACGTTTCGCTCTTGACACAAGAGGTTCGCCAGACCAGGTGAAGCAGTGTGCAATCGGAGTGGTATTTTATATCGAACAGGGACGATAACCGCGTTGCCCAAGACTTGAGCCAAAGTGTCAATACTGTCACATTTCGTGCCGTCACCCCAAGTGGTCAATCACAGTGGGATTAGTTAAGATGCTCCATTGTGCGTTATGGCATTGGCCGGTAAGCCCATAGTGGTGACAATGGGAGTCGAGTTGCACAATAATTGCTAGTTGCTTGGGCTAATGGCGATCATAATCTAGCGCGTCAATGGCCAAGGAAGGAAACACTACTTGCCTCTTGCCCAGTAGTACTTTCTCCGACGCACTATTTAACCAACCCAGTGTGTCCCTCGGTGCAGTCAACAGGTTGATACAGTCAAAATAGAGATCTTAATTTTTGAGTTCCTTCAATTGTAGTTCATCAACACTGCAGCTATACACCTTTCGACTGATGAGGAATCGCGTCAGCTGATTACTTCTTCCTTTCGAGGAGAGATGAGCCTTAGGTCATTTAGGGAAAAGATGTCTGTGTTATTCATAAGCAATTCGAATATCCATGTAACCTACTGGGTAATTAAGCTTGAGAAACCAGGAATGTGTGTGGATTGGTACGAACAGCAGCGAACCAACAACACGTGCGACTTGGACTAAAGGCACGGAGTACGATGCCGTTTGACCAGTTGAGCGGTGGAAGTTCACGCGTGACGGGTGAACAGAACGCGAATCAAGTACTGCTCACGCTGGCTGAGTATAAACACAGGGAAAGATTGGGGTAGGCTAGCTTGAGCCAAGTACAACCTGGTCCCAGACAGTGCAGTAATGGGTTGGACCGGGCCTGTCATGTGATCAGTGAATCCAGACGGCACAAAAGGCGACAGTGAAAAATCATTAGTGGATAGCTACTGTAGTTGAAAGACGCTTGAAACTTTACGCGCTGTAACTGACCCACGGAATCTTGGAAGTTGGACTTCTGATCATTAGCCACACTTTGTTTTGGTTCGCGGTGGACTGCACGAAATATGACGGTCAAAACAGCTGCACACCTATTTCCAATTTACGTCAAAAACCGGAGAATTCTGTTTAGTAAGTAGCGTGATACACCTTCTAAAGCATTCTTTTTGGAAACGGTATTTACTTCTCTGGACTAATCTAACAAGACAGCCAAGAGACAAAAATTGCAAGATGGGACTCTCTCGTTCCATCTGCTCACAGAAACAGATACTTCGCAAAAAACCAATCTTTTCTAGCTTCTTTTCAGAAGTAAAGACAATCAGACACATAACAACAGGTAAACGAATAGGGAAATGATCTAGAACTTCAAGGAGGCTTTACGGATACTGTTAACTTATTCGGAAAACGAAATGCGTTGTACTTTCAACGATACCAACTCCGTGCTCTTTTGGCAACCAGAAACTTGTCAATGCTCCCACTTAAATCTATTCAATCGACCTCCGTCACTGCATGTACCAATTTATTTATAGCTTTGGAAGCAGTTCTACTGGCAGGACAGATCCCTGTTTGGGTAGATAGATTAGAAAGTATATTCTAAAGCGGATTACTGGAATGAGGACACTAGAAGCGACGTAATAAACAACGACAGATACGCTGCCGGCGTCGTGCGTCGCTCCACAGTAAATCGGACCAGGCTAATGTGGAGTCAGCGAACGTTATTTTCTCCATGAAAATGCCAGACTCTGAAGGCTCGAAATATAATACGGCATCTGCACCCAGTTTTGATACTGAAAGATAATTAAGTTGATTAACTGGTACTCGCTGCTGTGTAAAGCGGTTTCGGTCGTTCTTTACATTTAGGTGCTCTGGTTCTGCAGAGGCTACTGTGAAGTAACGAGTATAATAACTCAACCGACATAGTCTACGAACCGACGCGACCGTCACCGACCGAGAGAATCGTTCACGCCAGTTAATCGGCCTTACTGAAGAGGGTACAGGTTCGTATCTTCAAGGTCACAAATTTCGCCATTAATCCATGCAGTCCTGCTTTAAGGTGCAGTGTCGACCGCTAAGACATGTTTCCGTTGTTCATAATGCGATATGGTTCAAATCCAATCCGTTTCAATAGTGCAGAATTTCGTTGTTGTCATCCATGCAAGTTCACAAACTCGCATTAGTGCCAACATCACCTCTGTGGTGACCCAATCGACCAGTTCTCACGTGTGGATATGCGTCCTATTTTTTGTAGCGTGTTTTGTTCACTTGACGGAGAGCGACCAGCTTTTGTGCACATTAGAGGCACCTAAATGAAGCTAATTGGGTGAGAGTTATTTAGAACCAGGGTGTGAGCATTAGCCTAATTTGCGAGAGCAGGTTGCAAATGATTTTCAGTCACCTGTACAGTGAGAATAAGTGGTCTCAGACCAGGTCAACCAGCCTGGTGGGGTGCCGTGCAGCCAAAGGAATGCAGTAGAACACAGGCGGAGAATAACAGCAGCAAGGCAGCCAAGCTACTTCTTAAACACGAGTGTCTTCTGAACGAGAAGGTGTTGGTCTCTGAACATTTTGCCTTTGCATACCATTCTTGTGCAGTGTTAACGAAGGAATTCACTGTAGAATGTTACGCACCCTGGATGGTGTACCGTGTATAACGTGTGTTCAAATTGTTGGAACAGAAGAAGGATCGCAATGCACATATGAAAAAGCTTTTAAATAAATTACCTTAAGATGAAAGTGTACCAGGACTGTGGTACGTGTTCTCAGAGTAGAACAAACTTAGCCTGAAGTTAACTTCAGTCGGTTCGCTTAACAGGACCACAGTTGATTTAGCAATATTTTCAATGTTGATGGTCCGCAGCAGTGGACTGCACCACTAGTTTCTTCCTAGTTAGAACACTCTAGATAAAGTTGGCCAGAGCTAGAACTCGAGCATGTGAGGTACTGGTTATCGGCGCTCCAAAGAAAATCGCTTAGTTGGAACCTGAAGCAACAAAATTGTCTCCGTCTAACACACAGTCCCAGGGGTGGAAATTACTGAACGAATCACGGTCAAAGCTGATCCTCAGCAAAGCAAAAGGACCCATTCCATTAACAATGATTAGGACCAGAAATCAGTGTAAGGTTGAGTATTTTCAGGTAAACTCTCGTCCGACCCTAAAGTTTACATAACCCTGCTTAATGTGGTCAAATCGGGCTGGGGATTGATTTATAAGCTATTTACAGCGCCTATCTCAGAGAATTCGCGAGCACATCCCAGTGTGGCTTCACAAGGACAAAATGTTAGTTCCAAACATTTCTGTTCTGTCACATCACCTTGCTTGCGTCCACCTACTCCTTTCTTATTTGCTTCTCGCAAGGCTACCGTAAGTACCCCTTGTCCTTTACCGAGGCTATTTGCATCCACCATCTGAAGCCTGAATTATATGTGCAAAACGATTCATACGGTGGATACTACAACCGCGGCCGATAGGCAGGTTACTTAGCTAATTGTTACCTGGGCTAGTTACTTCAACTTAATGGGGTTTGATGTGTTACTTTTTCTCTCGTTTCCTTGGCCCACCATGTATAACCAAATGTCAAGTTACCGATTTGACTGTACAAACAATCTATAAATCAACCCGCAACCCGATCCGTAGCTTACTACACCTATTCAGTGTTATGTAAACTTTGGTGTCATATGAGAGTCCACCCAAAAAGAATTTTTAGCCTTACATGAGTGAATCATGGGCTATGCTATGCTTCAGAAAATCAAATATTCGCATTTGATTGTTCATAAACAAACCATAAATCGAAATGTGAGTGGAGGATTCTGTTCGGGTAAACTCTCATCAGACTCTTGCGTTTACATGATGGTTTATATGTGGAGGTGCCAGAACTACTGAGCACATGCAGTTTGAACGATGGATTTTATGACCTGTCACAGCTACAGGTAATGCAATCAATCAGCAAATGCAATAGTAGGCACAATTACTCGAAAAACCACATAGACAGCTCGAATGATAATCAACTAATTATGAAATAGTGCTCGCTGACCAAGGCAACAAAATAGGAAGTGCGTATTTTGGCGAAGATATAACTGGAGTTTCAAGTGGTGAAGGTATGTTCTCCCGGCGATGGATGGCAGTTGTTCACGGGAACAACGCGAGTAACGTTCAGGCAATGAGTAGAGGGCTTTCAAGTCGTGCTCTGATACCGCATGGCCGTATTCAAAGAGGTGTGACGAAAGTGAGCTTTTTGAAGACTTCTATTTACCTCTGAAGAGCTACATTGGAATATGCTTGCAGATCCACTGTGAAAAACGCCTCGAATTGCGACCGATGTATCGTAGACCACAGAAGCCCGAGCAATGATAAATGAGCATTGATCGGGCCAACGAGGATAGCTTATCTTTCAAAGGCTTGTACAGCACTTGTTACTGTAATAGACTATTCTCAAACGACCTGCGGAATACGTCTTCACGACAACGTCTTTGCGTCTGGATAACAAAGCAGTGGCAGCGTCGCCTTTGAATGGTAAACACATAAAAAGTTCTTTATTCGGAGCAATGCTCCTAGGTGGCTTAAGTTCAAGTATTCTCAGATACTTCCACATAAATGTGTCCGGGGATCAATTTTCTCTTCGGGCGTTGCTGATTTTCAGCACTTTCTCATTGACGGTATCTGGTGTGTGGTTACTGGGTGCCCCGAAGGCTAAACATTGTACCAAGCTCCGTTTGTACTGCAAAGCTATCTGGCTGTGGGAGTTAGTACACTGTCCCGTCTATGTAATTTTCCT